CACTCCCTTTGTATAGACTGTCTATTCGTATTATCTGCCAAATCCACAATCCACCCTGTCATCAAATGATAAACTCCAACGCTTCAACGCTTTCAAAACATACACATCATCATGGTCAGCCGCATTGTTGGCACCGTTGGCAACACGACTTGGCGTAATCATCATCCACCCCACCCCGTTGCCATCTTCGCCCTTCCGAACCTCATGCCTACTTAGTCGACCTTGACAGCTTGTTAACCCACATGCTCGTACCTAGTATTCCAGGTGACTTTCCCCACAGACCTTGATCAGAGGTCCCCTGCGTCATCTGCCTGCGCTATCTGGCCATCCGTCTTGGTGGAGTCTAGACCGTGCAAGGCGCTCGTATCTGTATCCCCTGGTTCAGATGCCAAGTCGTCCCCATCCTCCGTATTTTCTAGCTGGGTGCTCTGTTGTGCGTCTGCCTTGTCTGTCGCCTCTTGCATTGTCCCGAGCGGTGGGCTGGATGCTTCTGTGGCCGCGGGTAATTCTGGTAAATCTTCCGTTGACGTAACCATCAAATCATCCGCCCCGTCTGATGAAGAGCACTCGTGTGGAGCTTGTCTACTGACAGAGGTTGTTACAGTTGCCGTTGAGAGCGCGACACTCGTCGTCGTGACTGTAGTGGTGAGGACTTCCGTTATTTGCGTCGTAAACTGTAATGTCGGTACAGGATTCTCTTTGAGCGCTCCTTGCTTGCCTGCCAATGCAAACAATAATACCAAGACGCTCAGTACGCCCGCGAGGAGGGTTCGGCTCTCTTTGCTGAATCCTCTACCGTAACCAACTGGTGGGGACGGTGCGTCTTGCTCAAAAGAACATGGACTAGGCGGTGAAAGTAGCCGCTCCGATTCCGGCATTGACTGCTTCTGGAAGTTGGTCAGATCGACCTTGCTTTCAACTCTGCCAACGTCGCCGTATACCTCTCGTTCTCGGGACATGGGCAGTTCATGATCGGCAACTGTGTCGTTTGGGCCCAGTGGACTTGGGTCCGTCTGTCCGTCTTCGATGAATGCAAGCTTTGTCTCGAGTTCTCGACAGATCTCTTCTGGTAGGCGGACGTTAATTTCCACGTCGACCTTCTCCATTTCTTGCCACGCTGCGGCCCATGCTCCAGCCCGCATCAAACCATTGGCAGCGAAAACTTTGACATCCCACAGACGACGCGGCTCTTCCACAGACAGATGTCCGCCACAGTCCGGACACTTGAGAGCACCTTGGCCGTCAAGATCAGCCTCATCTTCGGTAAGACTGCCACTCTCAAAGCCACTGTCTATACTAGTCCCGCCGGTGTTGAAGAAGTGATTTTGCCTGATGCGAGGCTTTTCGAGTTCCAGGCTTTCCAAAAGTCGTTCTTCCAGCAGCTCATAGTCATCCTTGGGATGGGGAATCAGAATTCCTCTGCTGCTGATCTCGACATCTTTCAGTCTGTCTCGGAGAGCAAGCCAACGTTGCTTGTACTCCTCTGGCAGCAGTTCGCTGAGGGTTGCACTTTCTTCAGCCGAAGGTTGGAAAGGTTGATTGGGTGCTAGCAATGTACAGTGCAAGAGGATAAGAGGGAATTCTTTTTTGAGATTGGTGCTGCCTTTCAGGGGTGAGGTGTGGTGAGACTGGCTAGATCTCTTGGTCGGAGACGTCCGAACTGAGAACAAACTCCTCTGACTGTATGACGACATTTGTGAGCCAGTCCGTCTGTGGTGCCTTATCACACTGTTTGTTTCACTCATTGCTTCATCTTTCATCTGCAAGGCTTTGACACTGCTCGGATGGCGAAATGCCGCGCGGCAACCGCGGAGGTTTCGAGGGGAAGTCGTCGCGGGCCGGGAGCCCCCAGATCGTTCAAAGGAGTAGAAGCCGTGCGAGTCTCGTTTAGAGGGTGTTCGAGGGCCATACTGCTCTGGCTCGGCGTGTAGGGGCTGTGATATGGACGTCGGAAAAGAAGAAATCGAAGAGCATCCTGAGAAGACGCGCTGGCCGGCATCCTCGTTGCTCTCTTCATACCCGTCATCTGGCTGCGAAACGGTTTCCGATTCCGAGTTAGAAGTGCTCTCATCGTATACTGCGCCGGAGAAGTTATAGTCGTGAGTTTGAGTGCTCTCTGTCACCGGTGGAGTGGGTGGAGTAGTCGAAGGCGAAGAGGATGGGTGCTGCCGCAGTGAAAGCGGAGAGGACTGTTGGAATGCGCATACATCTGGTTCCTCATCGAAGAAAGAGAGATTTTCAGACGCGCACATCGCCATCATGCGACTACAGACAATCTGATTGAGTTCATGATCATGGCAACGGTGCCTGTGCGCAGCGCATGCACTTTAATGTTATTATTGAGGGGTTGCACAGGGCAACAATAAACAGTGCCTGTCTGACGATGCTTTCTTCTCCTCAACTGGTGGTGCATTACTAAGACTACCTGAAGTAGGTAAATGTCAGACAGAAAGTATTATCGGTCATTCGTTCAAGATCGCCGACGACAAACTTCACCTCAGCCTCTCATCCCGTCACTTTCATCAATATATGTACCTAAAGTTTGGATTCTCTCGGTCCGTCAAATCATCAAATGCATGCACGTAATTATCATCTTTGGCCTCTCGAATCCCGGCAGAAACCAGCTCGTCCTTCTTCCGATTCTGCCGCTTGAGATGGAGCCAGAGGAACGCAATCACCAACACAAGGAGAACATAGCAGCCGAGGTGAGTACTGAAGGCAATGAAATAGCGTGGGGCATCATATGACAGAAACACCTGCGGACCTGTTGTCGCCGAGTTAGTGAGCCGTTATGATCAACGTCAAGAGCTAGGAGAATCACAAACCGACAGCATTTCCGGTGCACCAGGCTACAAAATTCATTGTGACAACAATTGACTTCTTCGTCTGACCTCCAACATTTCGAGAAATCATGCTCATAGCGAGCGTCTGAGCGGCCCAGAACGAGAGCACGATATAGTAGCTGATGAGCAATCCCACTTTGGTCGCCGTGTCTGTGTTACGGACGCTCATCAACACGATCGTGCCTACGAAAGATCTGATACCTTGTTAGTTCAGCACGGACCAGATTGGGGGAGAGGATTACGGTATGATGAAGAGCCCCATGACCAAGCAATTCTGATGGAATTTCTTAACGAGCCATGTCGAGGTAAGCAAGATGATGATTATCACAGCACCAAGAACCATTGCAAGCAGCTGTGTCTGAAGGACGGTGAAGTTGAATCCTTATGGCGAAGTCAGTACTTTCAGTTATCGCATGCAGAATTCCGTCCTTACCTGTGATGATTATATTGGCAAAAGCTCCTAAGCCAGAGGTGGGCAAAGTCGTGCAAATCTGGATTAGACAGTAGCAGTACGTCTGTGGATCCAGGAATGCTTCCTTGACTTGCTCTGGACGGAACTTCTTGTTTTGCAGTCCTGTTTGATTGCTCCTCACTCGCTCAACCATCAACTTCTTGTCCTCTTCTGAGAAGCACTTTGCTTTCATTGGAGAATCAGGCATCCACCAGCCGACGAAAAGCCCCCAAAGCACGGAAAAGCAGCCATAGGCAATGAAAATCGCTTGCCATGATTTCAAAGGCCCAGACCGGATTTGAGTGAAGCAATATGCCAGTAGGCCACCCACGATTTGCTGGCCTCCACTGTTCTGTCATCAGCACCGAAATGACTATGTCGAAGATACAAAGCCCATTAAGACTTTACGACCTTCAATATTGCGTTGTCTGAGAACTTACTTCATCATGTACCAATATGTGACCGTTTCGGCCTGTTCTTCTCGCTTGTACCACATGCTACTGAGGATGAGGAAACTGGGCTGACAGACCGCTTCGAAGATGCCTAGCAACGTCCTCAGGGTCACGATTGTGGCAAAATTCGTTGCAACCGAGTGGAGAGCGAGGACTGCGCCCCAGAGACAAATGTTCAAAGCAAGGTACTTTGCAATCGGCACCCTCTGAATAGTCCAGTTTGTCGGATATTCCACAATGAGGACGGCGATATAGATACAGGTTGTGAGCCACGAGTACTGTCAATTGGGTCGGTCAGTTACTGGACTTCAGTTTAGGATGGGTTCCCACCTGTTGTGCGTGGAGATTCAAGTCCTCTCGAATGCCCATGATGGAAGCAAAAGACATGGTACCTTTGTCGAGAGCTTGAAGGAAGTACGTTGGAACCATTATGGCAAGCACGCGCCTGTCAATCATGCGTCTCAAGCGCCTGTTTTCTTCCTTGGATATCTCGACATGCGTCGCATTCGCATACTTTGCGACGTCCTTGTCGATACGGTCATAGTCGATGAAATCCTTCTGCAGATCGCTGCCACCGGACACCACCCTCTCGATCTCAGAGATGTCCTGCTTCTCCAAAGCACCTTTCTGGTTGGCGTCTGGAGAGGGCGCAGCATCGCCAGCGATATGATCCGACCCAGCCATAGTGCTTCTTGAGGTGTCGATAGTGTATGTGCAAATGGTTTGAAAGCCCCAGCTGAGTGGGAATGTAGCCTCTGCTCCTTAAACACTTCCAGCTGTGCACCATTTCCCTATATGCTGTTGCACTCCATGCCCTTCGGTACAGCAACGAACGAAAGCCTCGGAGGACAATCAACCGAAGGAGAGCATCAACTCTTGTTCGCGAGGATAAGGTCTGCGGACAAAGTGAGAGGGTCAGTTGGACTCCCCAGTCGGACTACAGAGTTGAACTCTACCGTTGGCCTCCCCCGGAAATTGCCCAAATGCGGACCTCATGAACGGCCCGAAGGAAAAGGCTCCATTGGCATCTCCGCAGTCTCGCTAGGTCGATCGCACCCGATCGAGAGTAAGATCCCCACAAACCCACAAACCAAGTCTCATCCAACTCTTGGCTGCAGAAACCAGGATTATAGGGTTAAAACCATCTCGGTACATTTGATGCCGGGAGGAGAAGGACATTTGATGAAGAACGGTGAGGATAAAAAGCGTAGGAGAAGGTTATTGGACTACTCAACAACACGGGCAGCGGGAATCATGCCATCTCCTTTGGCTATTGAGGGGTTGACTGCAACAGATATCTCACAAAAGATCGAACTACTGATCCACAATCTGGTCAACATCAAAGATGAGACAGGGCATTTCTTGTTGAAACTGCCCGACGGACGGATTATTGACACCAAAGGTTGGCATGATTGGGAATGGACTCATGGAATTGGCTTATATGGCCTGTATCAATATCATGCGTTGACATCCTCTCCAGTGGCACTCAGCACCATGCAAGACTGGTTTTCGAGGAGGTTGGCTGAAGGCACCACCAAAAATATCAACACCATGGCAGCCTTTCTCTCTCTCGCATATCTATATGAAGAGACGAGAGAACGAAGCTATCTGCCTTGGTTGGAGTCTTGGGCGGAGTGGGCGATGCACGATTTGCCTCGAACAACTTTTGGGGGGATGCAGCATATAACGTATCTTGAAGAGAACCACAATCAACTCTGGGATGACACGCTTATGATGACCGTTATGCCTCTGGCAAAGATTGGGAGACTACTCAATCGCCCCAGCTACGTGGAAGAAGCCAAGCGGCAGTTTCTTCTACATATTCAGTACCTTTACGACCCTCAGACCGGGCTCTTCTTTCACGGTTGGCAATTTACCGATGACGGTGATGCTCAATTGGGCCATAATTTTGCGCGAGCGAGATGGGCTCGGGGCAATAGCTGGGTGACGATTGCAATTCCGGATTTCATCGAGCTCCTGGACTTGCCTTCGGATGACGGCCTAAGACTGTACCTGGTCGGTGTGTTGCAGGCACAATGTAGAGCTCTGCGGGCCTTACAAACCAAAGAGGGCATGTGGCGGACTTTACTCGACGTGTCAGAAGAGGAGGGGAGTTACCAGGAAGCATCGGCCACTGCGGGATTCGCCTATGGTCTTCTGAAGTCGATACGGAGACGGTACATCTCAAAGGAATACCTGGACGTTGCAACGAGAGCAATCAAGGCCGTGATTCAACGAATCAGCGAAGACGGCGAATTGTCGGATGTCAGCTTTGGCACGGGGATGGGCAAGGATCTCAAGCATTATCTGGACATTGAGAGGACCAGTATGCCGTATGGTCAAGCGATGGCGATGATGGCTTTGGTGGAATTTCTTCGTTTGTATAGATAGAGAGACCCAACCACGACGACGATGACCGTGGCCAGCACTTCGAATGGAACATATCCATGGTAAGGGGAATAGCTTTTGTCTATGACTACAATCCAGATACGACACATCCACATCCGTACTGTAAATTGGACACATACCTTTGTTTTTGGCCCCTTGAATTGTGCCGCTTGTTGCAAGGCCGAGGTATGCACCAATGTAGTATTGCCATCTTGCCAGGGCGAGCGACGGATTGTGTAAGTATAAGCACTAAGCAACAACGAGTAATTTTGCGACTGTTTGAGATTCCAGCTGGACTCATCACATAACATACCTAGGTATATATACCTAGAAAATGAGAAAGGTGTTTACAAGCTCCTCCGTTTGACATCAAACCGACTTCATTGATCTCCCGCAAGAGAGGACCCTACAGATGACCATGACAACCACCGCCGGCGAGTCCGCTCTCCCGCACTATGTGCTGCTCGGTATATGGTGTTGGATATGCACAATCTCTGCGGTAACTCGCCCCTGAAATGTCATGTATGCCTGGAGGGAGCCTTTGAAAAGTCAACGCTGATCTATTTTGTGCGTCACTTTCGCAGCTACTCGGCTTTGCACTGCTACGACTACTGTACAATGTATCACCATTTCATCCTCTAGCCAAATACCCAGGGCCGCTACTGTGGAGAGCGTCCCGTCTCCCGGCTTCCTGGCGCCAGGCTCGCGGCGATCTGTACAAGAGCATCGACGCCATCCACACAGAATACGGACCGGTGGTTCGGATCGCGCCCGATGAGCTTTCATTCACAAACCCAGAAGGCTGGGCCCAGATCTACAACAGTCGACCTCAGCTGCAGAAAACGCGTTTCCACTTCCCGTCGGCCGAGACGCGCAAGGTGCCCGAGAGCATGATCATGGCCAGCGACGCGGACCACAATCGGCTCCGGCGCCTCGCCAACCCTGCCTTCACGACCACGGGGGTTCTAGAAGTCGAGCCCGTGATGCAACACTACGTCGACCTGCTCTGTGCACAACTGACCGAGGCCTGCCACGAGGGTTCGCAGAACATGGTCGAGTGGTTCCTCTGGACGCTCAACGACGTGATCGGCCAGCTGGCCCTGGACCAGGAGTTTGACTGTCTCAAGAAGCGCCGCATGCACCCCTGGCCGAGCTTCCTCTTGCAGGGTCTCAAGAAAGCCACCATCTTCAACCAATTCCGCCGCTTTGGGATCACCGAGCGCATGCTGATGCCGCTGATGACGGCGAAGCAGTTGCACGAGAGGAACAACTTCTTCGACGCGGCCAATTCGGCGGTGAAGCAGCGACTCGATCGTGAGGACGACGAGGATGGGGACGACGAGCGCGGCAAGGAAAAGGAGAAGAAGAAGAAGAGACCCGACATCGTGGGCCTGATGCTGCGCGAGATGAAGGACGGCAACCGCCTCACCCACGACGAGGTCGTCTCAAACTCGGTGCTCATCGTCGGTGGTGGCGCCGAGACGACGAGCACCTGCCTGAGCGCGACCTTTTACCACCTTTGCAAGACGCCCCGCGTCATGAAGAAGCTCCAGGACGAGATTCGCCGAACCTTCACGGCCAGCGGGGACATCACCGTCCGTGCGACCTCCAACCTGCCCTATCTCAGGGCGACCGTCGACGAGGCCCTGAGGATCTTCCCCGTCGCCAGCTACATCACGCCGCGAACCACGCCCAAGGGAGGCCACCTGATCGCCGGCGAGTTTGTGCCGGAAGGGGTAAGTTTTCTTTCCTATTGAAAACCAGTCCCCGCCCCTTTCCCCTCCGTGTCTCTTCCTGTATGGTGCCCGCTTCTCCCGACTGCTATTGGGACCGACGCCAAGATGAGACACTGGCTGGCTAGTTAGCTAACGATGAGAACATTTGTGAATTGTTGACAGACCTACGTCTCAATGGGCCAGTGGCACATGGGCCGGTCCGGCCGACTGTTCGACAACCCCAAGGAATTCCGACCAGAGAGATGGCTCGAGGAGCTCGGCGACAAAGGGCCCTCGGGGCTACAGGCCGACGAGATCCTGAAGCCCTTCAGCCTGGGTCCTCGAAATTGCATTGGCAAACAGTGAGTCTCTCCCCCTCTCCTTCTGATTTACCACACAGGTATATACATCAGTATATACGAGTATATACACCTACCCATGTAGGTGCGATGTCTGTCACATGTTCCGTTACTGATCACTTCAATACTTGAAAACAGGGTGGCTCTCACCGAAGCACGCCTCGTCATTGCAAAGTTGCTGTGGCACTTCAACATGGAACTTGACGGGGATCATCCTACCTGGGTGGAAGATGCGAGGTTCTATGTGAGATTTGCCCCCTTGCTTCTCTACAAACCCCCGGCGCTGGCCTGTTTCATGCCGACTCGCTGACTCTTGGAATAGGTTCTGTGGGAACTCCAGCCGCTGAAGGTCAGGTTGACGCCGGTTGAGCGTTGCATGTAGCGTTGTTACATCATTTCATCACTACCTTCGCGTTTTAAAGAAATGGGTCTGAAACTAGATGCGTAAAAGAATCTAATATTAGCACATGTCTGGTTTCCCTCTATAGCCTGCCCCGTGAGAGAATGGCGCCGCCATCGGTCGTGACGACGGCACCGTTAATGTGTGAGGCTGCCCTGCTGCTCAAAAAGACCACCAAACCCGCAATATCCTCAGGACGCCCAAGCCTCTTGTTCGGTACTTCGGCTGCCATGGCGGCCTGTCCTCCTTGCAACTCTAGCAGGCCAGAAGCCATCTTGGTGGGGTAGAAGCCAGGGGCGACGGCGTTGGTGATGATTCCTCGGGGGCCGAGCTCGACGGCCAGGTTCTTGGCCAGGTGTATCGCCGCCGCCTTGGACGCCGCGTAGGCGGGCGTCGAGTTTTCGCCGATCGTGCCAACGCCGATACCAGCGACGCTTGCAGTTATGATGACTCTGCTGGGGTTCTCTGTGGTTGCGTTCTTCTGCAATAGCGGGGCGAGTTTCTGGACGGTATAAAACACGCTCTTGACATTTAGATCCATGACCTTGCTGAAAGCGTTTTCCGGATGTGTGTCAAAGGGTGCTCCCCACGTTGCGCCGGCGTTTGCGAAGAGGATGTCGACGTGGTCCGTGGTCTTTGCGATCTCAGCCGCGAGGCGTTCGATTTCTGAGATCTTCGCCGCGTCGGCGGGGATGGAGATGGCGACTGCGCCAGGTCGTTTGTTGGGGAGCGCATTGAGGGCGGCAACGGCTTCTTCGCACGCTTTGGCCTTGCGGGAAGTGATGTAGACCTTGGAGCAGCCTGCTTGCAGGAATCTATTGACTTGGGTGTCAGCGTGCCCCAACGTCCCCAGTGAAGGCTGTGGGTTGTGTAGCTTACCCAGAGGCGACATTCAGTCCTAGTCCTCGCGAACCTCCAGTCACGACAGCGACCTTGCCTTCGAGGCTGAATATGCTCCCAAAGTCCTGGAGCTCGACATCCTGTTGGGCACTACCCATCTTGTCTGTTTGATCTCTTTGTTTTTTTTGTGGGGTTTCCTGTCTCTTTTCCGTCTATGATGAGCCACACAGTAAATCCAACACCACGTTCAAAATGCAGCAATCCAAAGTATTGCAGTCTCTGCTGGGGGAGTGTTATGGTCGAGAGGATATTATACGAACGGAAATGGGTCAATTGCCGAACTATTGACGAGTCGCTGGTCATCCCACAATTCCGTGGTGCTGTTGATTAGAAGATGCGCAATTCCGGTGGGATTGGAAAGTCGGCGCTGTAGAAACAGCCGAGGCTCGAACCAACATATGGGGACTGGAGCTGAGATTCAGCATTGAGTTTGGGAGGTTGTTCGTTCATTCCGCCGTCTTGATTTATCTGTATCGATGTGCCAAATGTTTCGTGGTTCGGAATCTGCGTTGTAGAGGCGAGACGAAAGTCCCTGATATGTGGAAGTTGAACGCGACCTTGTGGTGGACATAAAGTACAAGTGCCGAGTACCGAGCACAAACTTGTATATTCTTTGTCCGCAGGTGCAGACCTAGGCAGCTCCGTCAACTCCTACAGTGTCACAGTGTATTACTTACCTGCTCCACACAACAGCCAATGGCTGGTGAGAATCGCAGGTACTAGGTATCCTTCATTAGGTACGCCCAGCTCGGTAGGTCTGAGAAGGTGGTATCAGGCCCTCGCCTCTTACCACACCATCTCACCGGCTTTACGATGACACCAACATGAGCGGCGACGTCTCCGATGTCCAACTCCTTGCAATGGGGGGTCAGCCCGTGCCTTGAAGGACTGTGCGGCCGCTTGTGACTGCTCGTTGGTGAAGATTGTCGCAAGGCCAGTCAGTCACTGATCAGCTTATGTACGCGGCAGCTCCTTCACCAGCCGTCTCATCTGAGTATGTAGTTCCTCGAGCAACTTTGCTGTCAAAAGACATTTCTCTTCTTCACAAACCTGAACAGGGCCGACTGGAACCGACAGCGATGGCCGACAACAGCATCAGTATGTTTCCAGAGACAGATCCTGAACTTGCTGAGGTGCGTCCACTCGTCGAATGAACCTCGCGGCGATACCTGTCTAACGTATTTCACATGTTAGATATGGAGGGAGAAAGGTGTGCCCAAATTCTTCCTTCCCCGGGTTGACAAGATGCCTCAAACGCGGGCTCTCCATGCTCAAGGCAATGTCCGGTTCATGAAGAGCGCTTTCGTCAAGCAGACTTTGGGCGATCAAGTCCTTTGGACAGAAGAAGACAGATCGGTCGTCGTCCGCGATGGGCACTCGGTCGCAATTCGGATCTATCGCCCCAAATCACATCCCGGACCCCGACCAGTCATGGTTCTTGCGCACAGCGGTGGATTGTGCATGGGTGGACTGGACACGGAGGAGTTCATCTGTCAGCTCCTGTCTATGAGGTTGGGCATCGTCGTCGTCAGTGTCGCATATCGCCTCGCCCCGGAATGGTTGTATCCCACCTGCGTCTACGATGTGTACGATGTCATTAAATGGGTGCGTTGAACACAGATGTCGCTTCTCGCGTGAACTGACCCATGATAGCTATCAGTCAATGCTCAGACCATCGGTGCAGATTTGTCCAAAGGCTTCCTCACAGGCGGCGTTTCGGGAGGCGGGAACACGACATGCATGGCTGCTATTATGGCGAGAGACGATAAACTGCAGCCTCCTCTGACAGGACACGTCTTCATCTGTACCGGCATGCCCCACGATTACACGGACCAGAAGGGGCACAAGCTCGCCCTCTTCCCAGAACAGTTGTTGAAAGGGAGTTGGGAAAGGTATAAAAATGGGCCGGTGGCTACTCGGGAGATGAACATCCTGTATGGCCGTAAGTTATGCTCACTTCTATTCAAGGCCGAGAACAGAGCTCACACCAGGGACACAGAAATCTCTCAATTCGACGCGCGAGATCCCTATGTGACCCCTTTGACGCAGACAGACTACTCTGGACTGGGTCCGGTGTTCTACCAAGTCGCCGAGATGGACATCTGGAAGGACAGTGCCCTTTTCTACTGCGAGAAAATCAAGGAGGCCGGTGGCCAAGTCAAGGTGGAGGTATATCCTGGCGTCCCGCATCTGTGGTGGTCCATGTACCCACAGCTTTCGATCAACAAGAAGTGGATTCAGAATCTGGTCAACGGCGTCGAGTGGCTGCTGAGCCTGCAACGGGGTGGCGCTGCTCTCCCTTCCAGACTCTAGCAGAGGTCTCGACTATTGCTCGACGGACAAACGCGGGCGATACACCACCTGAGATCTGTGTAACCGCACGGGACAATTTGTTTGCTGCTTGCAAACGAGGCTGTAGGACAATCGCAGCCAACAGGGCACACGGTTGATAAAGGCAAGTGTTAACTTGGTCGATGCTCTTATTTCTAGACACTCGGATCGGTATGAGATTCAGGATCGAATTCATTGGAAACACTCTGGCCGACGAAGATGCTTAGATGTATCGTCGAGGAAGTCCTTGGGTGACCGCTGACCAGGCTGAAGCTCATGTATGTTTCCTCTCCTTGATGGACTTTTTCTTGAGCCACTTGTTTGCCTCCTTTGGTTATTGGTTCCCGACCTTTCTATACTGTGTGACCTTTGATTCCCATGTCCCACAGCATCTCATCTCATCTCAAGTCAACGCAGCCTCATCATCCCCGTTGAGAGTGGAAGAGGAACTTGCCCAACATTGACAATTACTTTACCTGATGCGTTGCGCCCCGCCAACATCTCTGTCTTCTCTCATCTCATCTTCAGCTTTTGTGAAAAACCACACCTTCTGTCGCCTTGACTGAGGTGAGAGTGAATGTGGCACGGTTCATACAAAAACTCTCGTGGGTTGATTGAACAGTTCACCCTTTCTCTCCCACATTCTTCTTCTCTCTCCATTCAATTCTGTTCCTCTCGAGCTGTGAGGATCATCATCTCAAGATCACATCCAATCTCGATTGATCCATTCCTTCATCTGACACCATTACTCTGCCCTCAATACACCCTCCTCTACCGTGTCGCTGAGGAGATTTCTTACTCTCGCGTCACCATGGCTCCGTCTGGTTTTCCAGGGCTCGGTCTTTTCATATTCTTCTTCTTCTTCTTCTTCTTCTTCTTCTTCTTCGCATTTTCCCCCCCTGTCCAAGCTCAGATGCCCGTCTCCACGTCGTTGCCACCCGTCTCTCAAGCACCGCCATCGTCACCGACAAATCCACCCGATACACCTCCGACCCCATTCACGACCACAGAGGTATACACGCCCTTTGCGCTCTGTGCGACAGGAGGAGGCGACTGGTACATCGACCCGCCCACGGCGACTCGACTGGCGGATCTGTTCTGCGATGAGGTGCATAAGCCGGGAAATCTTCCCGCGCAAGGTATTTCTCGTCCCTTTCTGTGGATGCTGGTTGGAATGAATTCTCAGTGTTGCTTATCCTGTGACGCATTACTTCCCCATTTCCCACTGTCTTGTCTTTCTTTCTTTGTTCTTCAAGCCCATATCCTTACTCCAGGTGCTATAACAGGGAAAGAGTTTGACCTGAACGAATATCCCACCGACCTCATCGCGCTCGACGCGAACGACACCTCCACAACCGACCACAACACCACCATCCTCGCCGGCGCCGCCGACACGCTCAGACGGACCGACAAGGAAACCCTGAGCATGGACGTCGCGACCACCGCGCCAAACTACACCCTCACGGAACTGTCCGGGGTCATCATGGCACTGCGGCTGTTCCGGTGGAAAGACACCGTGCTCGACGACGTCACGTACGCGTCGGGCACGCAGGCGCAGTGCGAACAGGACGCGCAGCAGGACCAGTGCCGCGCGGGCCTGCGCCGCGTCATCGACAAGTGCCAATGGAACAGCCACTACTTTGGCGGCGTCAACTTCTGGATGACGGGCTGCGGCATGTACGGCGTCCAGGTCGCAAATTGCTCGGGCAACTGGCTCGATCCGAACTGCGACCTGTGGCATCGAAAGTGGC